TCTGATGATGATTTTATTATCTTACTACTTTATGTGGATGATATGCTGATTGTTGGCAAAAATAAATCTAGAATTGGAATCCTCAAGAAAGAGTTAAGCAATTAGTTTGCGATGAAGGACTTGGGGCCAGCAAAGAAGATCTTAGGCATACAAATCTATCGAGATAGACACAAGAAGATGTTATCTCTATCCTAAAAGGAGTATATTGAGAAAGTACTCAAGAGGTTCAACATGACAGAGACAAAAGTGGTTAGTACACCTCTTGCTAAACACTTTAAGTTGAGTACGACTCAAAGTCCATCGACTAATGAAGAGAAAAATGAGATGCGAGTATTCCATATTCTTCCGTGGTTGGTAGTTTGATGTATGCTATGATTTGCACTAGACCAGATATTGCACATGCTGTTGGTACCGTTAGCAGATTTCTTTCCAATCACGAAAAAAAACATTGGGGTGCAGTGAAATGGATACTACGATATTTAAAGGGTACGTCAGATATGGAGTTGTGCTTTGGTAGTGGCAAGTCTGAACTAGTATGCTACACGGACTCTGATTTGGGAGAAAATCTTGACAATTCAAAATCCATTTCTGGCTATTTGATCACTTTTGGAAGGGGATCTATTTCTTGGCAATTAATCATTTTAATAAGTGCATAGCTCTATCTACCACAGAAGCCGAATATATAGCCATTACTGAAGGTGCCAAGGAATTGCTTTGGATAAAGGAGTTTATCAAAGATATTGATTTTGAACAATCAATATTTGTCTTATTTTGTGATAATAAGAGTGCTATTTATCTCACCAAGCATCTACCTTTCATTCTAAGTCCAAGCATATTAGTGGAAAATATCATTGGATTAGAATGGCCCTAGAAGAGAAATTATTTGAGGTTGAGAAGATACACACTGATGACAATCCTTCAGATATGCTTACGAAAGTGGTGATCGTAGATAAGCATGAGTTTTGTAGAAGTGCGACAGGCATGAAGCCTGCCAAGAGATCCTCCACTTGAAGTCCATTTGGCCCCTTGGATGGAGGGGGAGTTTGTTGGGATATTGCCCATGTTTCAGCCAAAGGCCCATGGCCTAATCCTACTTGAAAAAGGATTGAAATTATATTCTTTATTTGGTTTTCAATTCTATTAGGAAAAGGATTGAAATTGTAATCCTATTTGTAGTTGGTTTTGGCTTTGTAATGAAAAGCACAACTCTATAAATAGAGGATGGTCATGAGAGAATAATTAATTGCTCATTGGTATTGTCTTTGAAAGACATTAGAACATAGAGAGGTTTTTGAGAGAGCTTTCAACAAGAGAAAAAGAGAGAAAGAAAAGGTTTTTTTGCTGCAGTCTTTTTCTCCGACCAGCAACGTTCAGATCATGTTTCCCGATTAACTAACCGTTAGGATCGGGATGAAATTTGTTCTGAGTGTTCCTGACATCTTGGTGGTTGATTTAAACGGTGGGGATCAGATTCGGAGGTCAGAAAGATCCTATTTTAGTTCTCGAAAAGAAGCTGGGTTCGGGTGGTGTTTCTTTCTATTTATCTTTTGTTGGAGTAGCTATTGTTCGTTCTCTTTTGGCACTTGTTATGTAGCCATTAAAATAATATTTGTAACCCTCTTATTGGTATAGTAAATCAATTTGGATCTTGTCGATCCCGTAGTGTTTACCTTCGGTTTGAAGGGGTTTTTCACGTTAAACTTGGTGTTCTTTATTGTTAGATTTTCGGTTTCATTTATTCATCAGAATGGGGAGATTTGTTTGGTTTTATTTGTTCTGATTTCTTACCATAAATAGGTTTTTCTTTTAGGAAAGGTATTGGATTGACTTATCCTAAGGAGAAGCAAGTTGTTGAAGATTAAGTGAAGAAGGTGGACAAATTTATTTTGTGAGAAATTCAGGCCAAGGGGGAGATTTGTTGGATTTTATTTGTCCTCATTTCTTACCATAAATAGGTTTTCCTTTTAGGAAAATGTTTTGGTTTGACTAATCCTAAGGAGAAGCAAGTAGTTGAAGATTAAGTGAAGAAGGCCGACAAATTTATTTTGTGAGAAATTCAGGTTAAGGGGGAGATTAGTTGGGTTTTATTTGTCCTGATTTCTTACCATAAATAGGTTTTTCTTTTAGGAAAAGGTTTTGGATTGACTAATCCTTTTATTGTATGAAAAGGTTTAGGACTCTATAAATAGAGGAATGTTCCTCTAACTTAATCAGCATTCACAATGTAGTCTTAAGGGCTTTGAGAGTTTTGGTTAGAGGGAGAATTTGTGGTTCACAAGCTTGATACGTTATCACTTGTGTGAACCTCCCATGTATTCCGAGTGAATTTGGTTGAGGTTGTTTCCCTCTGTATTTTGTACTCTCATATTTATAGTGAATTGCGCATCTCCTTTGTGGACGTAGGTCGATTGACGAACCACGTTAAATCTTTGTGTCTTTTGGTATATTTCTCGTTGTCTTCTTACTCATGGTCTTTCGAGGTTTGCATTGCTAGCTTCCGCATTTACACCTGCTTATTTCCGGTCCTAACAGATATATCTTCCTTAGAATGACTACTAGATGACTATTTTCAATTTTATGATATACACCTACATAAAGTAGTTATTATTAATGATAAAAATAAGAATTGTAGAATATAAATTATAATTTTTTTGTGTGTACCTTTGATTTATTTTGTGTGCTTAAAACTATTGGTGGCAAACTAATACAATGTATATTCTCATATATTCATATATTATATTATTACTACTATTATAGAAAAGACTTATTTCAACATGTGTGGTTCTTGTCAATTTTAAAAAAGTTAAAGGTTAAATTAGTCAACGCATACAATATCATATATAGGTGGCATAAGATGGGTATAGAATATCAAACATGTGCTTTGCATATTATTACATCTGCCAACATTGACACCCTCTGTATATGAGAAGTTTTTATACATTGATTATAACTCCTTCAGCAGTCCATAATTCTCTCACAGATTTTTAGTTGCATGTTTATAATGGAGTTTCAGCAGCTGCACATCTTCTTCTTTCATGTGATTCAATTCATAAAGACTTCTATTGAAAAACAAAGTGCCATCAATTGGATCAAAATCGTGTACCTGTAGATTATTAGCTAACACAAGTGAGCAGGTAAGTGATACATTCATCTAATTATTTCAATACAATTTCTGATTGTTTAATATTGTCTTTGATTCCTGTTTGACACAATAATTATCAATTTGCAATTGAGATTGAAGTTTACGTATTGAATAATGGACTATTATGTGTAGATGTTTTAGAATTTGACATAATAATGATGATGCGAAAAACGAGTTGTTATGGTATTTGTAAGGATATATTTAAGTTATAAGATACTTCCTCCGTTCAGAATTGTTTGTCATGTTGCGTTTATCGAAAGTCAATTTGACTAATTTTCAAAGGTAAATTAGATCACATAATTAAGAGTTTTGCATTGGAAGAGATAGCTTATTGTTTTATAAAATATTTGGGTTGTGCACAATATATTATTGAAGACAGTGACGGAGCTAGAAATTTCAGGAAGGGTGTCCAAGTGAACCTGCTCTTCTTAAAAAGTGATTTTTTTTGCAACTATTGAGATTCGATCATACAAACACTTTAAGTTCTTACTCTTTTAGGGCGCCAAAAATAACTAGGCTACATCATATTTTTGTGTCAAGGGTGTCCAAAATATGTTATTTAGTCACTGTGTGAGGTTTTACCTGCGGTTATTGCATGAAAAATCTTTTCAAAGCTGTTATTTTGTCTTTTCTTATATAATGCAATTGAAGGTTGTTGTTGCCTTGAAAAATGAGACAAAAAAAGAAATGAATTGAGCTCCCATTAATAACCTTTGTAGCTTAGTTGTTGGATACTTGATCTTTCACATAATTGGTGCAATGAAGGTTCGATTTCAAAACCAGTTCCCATTTCCTTTTAAAGGAAGAAAGAAGATGTGAACTCTCATAGTTTGGCTGTCACGATAATTGCTATAGTTAATGGGAATTGTGAGAAAGCTGCTACATTAGATTATACAAAAAGACCTTACCGATAACCATTTAATAAATCAATGGAAGACCTTATCAATAACCTTTTAATAAATCAATGAATTGAGTTTTTTAAAGGCGACTTTAGGAACTGAAAAACAACTTATTGAAAGGTGGAATCAAACCTGAGTTTATTTCTCTTATTTTCATCTTTATTGGTTAAATGTGTTCTTTAGCTTTAACTTGCACCTTTTTATCTTTGGATCTATTTGCTTGTTTTTTTACTTATGCTTTACTTTATATACCATTTTTTTTATATTTTATGTTTTTACGAATACTAAATTTCTACCTTGTTCATCTGATGTAACAGGGCAAGTCGGAGATCGCAACAAATAAGAATATATCCTGGCTGACCTCCAATTTGATTCATAGCATTGTGTTAATATGTAAATATAAAATACATAGATATCGTTAAATTTATGGATATAAATTTAAATATATTGTTGACTTTTGAATTAGTATTGTGGTTATTTTTTTAAAAAATAAAACCGACTTTAAAGATTCATTTTGTGTGAGGTATAAAATGTAACAATTTCAAAATAAAATGTAAGATTATTTTATTTTATGTTTAGTAGGAGATATTAGGTAGTAATTGTCTTATTTATTTCATTAGTTTTGTCATAGTAATAAAATATATAATAACTTTTGTATTGTAAGTTAATTTATTTCGAGATTAATTATTTAAGATAACTTGTTTCCAGTCAAATAATTCTAGCTTTAAGTCTCCATTATGTTGGGATTATATTGGGCCCGCAAGGTTAATCTCTACCTATTATAAATAGAAATTATCTAAAACATACTTTAGAGGAAAAAAAGAAGACGGAAAAATGAAAAGGCTTAGGTAACCATTTAATATAAAGTTTATAATATAAATAAAGGTTGCAATTAATAGTTTTTTTTATTTGATTTATAGAGGTATTCTACCATAGTGGAAGTATTAGTATGCTAACTGGTATCAACATGTCTATTTTTCATAATTATTTTTATTTATCAAAGTCATTTTATCTCACAGCTTTCCTCCCTTTTCATTCCACGTGGTTATCTATCCAGTGATGTCTTGTACGTGACATCCATGCCTCTTTCCACTTTAGCCTCATGTTTGATTTATTCATAGTGGAAAAAACTGTTCAATTCTCATATAGCAAAAAGGGAGCAAATAACTCTTTTGGTTCTTCAAAGCTCTTTTCAGTTTTCACAAAGGAAAGAAAGGGGTATTAACTTTTAACTTCCCCTTTTCCATTTTGCTGCTTTAATTTTGCTTCAATGTTCTATGCATTTTTGACTTTGTTTTTCGTCTTACGTAGTATCGCTTCAATTTTTAAGGTAATTTTTGTTTCTAGCTTCGACTTTTTCTTCATTTTCAAATTGTCTTCTCAATTTTCGAATTGCTTGGTATCGACTTTTTCTTCATTTTTGACATGTTGTCGTCTTCTTCTTAGTTTTCGAATTGCTGTGTTTTTAGTGTATGTATTGCGTGTTTCAGTCCGAACGTCTGAGTTACTATTTAGTTTCTTGTAGTAACTCAATTAAGGGTTGTTCGTACGTTTTTAATCCATTAAAAGTTGTATATGTCGGTTAATAAATTATTTCATATTACACATTCTTCTTATCTTATGTGAAAATGTAGAGAAAATACACATGGGTTAAAAAAATTAAAGTTAACGTCTCAATTAAGAGTTGTTCACAAGATTTTAATCCATTAAATTATAAGTTGTACGTTGGTTAAAAATTGATTTGATATAAATATGTTCTTCTCAAATTTAAAGTTGTCCCCAAGTTTTAAGAACATTCACCAGAGTTTGCACTATTTAATAGCATGACACCCGATTACCCATCAAAAGCCCAAAAAGAGTTAGGCAATTTTAGTTCTATTTGATTTTTGCTCTTCTCGTCTCTGAGTTATGGGCAATGACCTATCCACTTAGTCTCGAAAATTTGAAATATTGTGGTAGTTAATAGATACTTATATTTTTTTTTGCTAATATTAATTAAACATCAGAAACAACCTCATTTGTTTAGCCATAAATCATGGTGACTGATCATGAGTTTGTTGTGACTACCACTCTCAGGTTTGTTAATTTTCATGTTCCTCTAATTCTATAAGTTTTCTTACCCTTTGATTTCCGATATTCTTGCTTCGTAATTGTTAATTATTTACTTTTAATAAACACTTCGCTCTATCATTGAATTGTCTGCACGGCATAAAAGTTATGTGGATATTCTTTATTTTTTAAAATTTACGAGCTGAGTCTTTTTATCATCACGACTAATACACATAGTATTGTCTTTCTATCTATTTCTTTGATAATTGCATATACGCCTCATATAAACACATATTGAAATAGACTTACCCGCAAGATTGGATATGCAAAATACAAGTTATTAATAAGTTTCCGCCCAGAGACATCAAAGATAAAGCCAAGAGATATCAGTTGTTGTTGCTTCTCTTATAGGATGCTAAAGAGGTTCTTCTACTCTTTTTACCTCTCTGTTTCATCATCGTTTTTACATATTATCGTGTTTCAGTTGTTTGTGCCTTTTTGTTTAGCAGATGTGCCTAACTGTATGTTCTTTGTCTTAAAGGATGTGTGCCTAACTGTGTGTTGTTTGTCTTAAAGGATAAAAGGTGATTTATATATCTTCTTAGATCAAAATAACATCATATTTTTTTAAGAAAAATACTTAATATGAATGTTGTACGTACCTTCTAATCTCGGAAAATGATACTTAAGTCACCTAAATTATATAAATCTTATCTATCTTTGATGGTAATATGTGAGCTTGTAAAATGACCTAGGTTCTTATCCTTCGCCCAAACCCTTTGTTCTCACTTCGCTTTTAGAACTTTGTTTGATAACAATTTTAAAGAACTAATCTTGAAAGTAAAACTTATTGCATGCGATACACCCGAATGTGAAGTAATATTAGATACAAAGGCAGCTATTAAAACTATAGTCAAAAGTGTTACTTTGGTCATTTGGTAAGTGTCGCGCCCCATTTTTTTCATCAAAAACGAGTTTTGTGCACGACCTAACAACTCTTTTGGATTTTGAGTTTGGAGTCGTCACCGAACGAATTAAGGCGCGTTAGGGCACCTATCTAACCTAACTAAGTCTAGCTAAGATCAATGAGTTAGAGATCAGGGTAAGGGTTCAAATTACCTCGAGGGGAAGGTGTGAGGCATCCCTCAAGGTACACAAATGTGGTCCCGGTCGTATCTCATGCAATCTATGTGGGGGTTACAAGTAGTAAATAAGGTCACTTCATTTATATTTAAGTAGCATGTTTGCTAGGTGATAAGAAATATAAAACAATTAAGAATATTTTATTATTTTAATTTTTTTAAACATGCAAGGCTATGTGATAGCAATAAATAAACAATCAAGCTCATTTTTATTTATTTTAACATACGAGACTATGTGATAAACAAATCGAACAAATAATTCATGTTATTATTTTAATTAATATTTAAGCATACGAGACTAAGCGATAAAATATCAAACAATTGAAAAATAGATTTATTATTTTTAATTAATTATTTAAGCATGCAAAACTAAATGATAACAATAAATAAAACATTTAAATAAAAATTTAATGATAAGTGACGGAATAGAAAAGAGACAAATAAATAAATTTTTAAGCTACCCCGAATGTACTTAAACAAACAAATAAAGGGAAGAGAGACTCTAAAAGAGACTTTTTGGATCAACACTCTATTTTCTTTTATTTTTCGATAGGTTGCCGTATAGGGACAGACAAAACCAAGTTTTGTCTTTCAAGCCTGGGTCGATGTCATCATCTCCGTAGGGCCAACAACCCCTACCCCACTACCACATTCATTTCGTACCTGAAAGGTGCCTAGTTGTCCCAGTTTAATGTCCAAGAGGCATTGGACTCTTAAAGGGTGGGTTTAGACAAAATAAAATATAAGGCCCTCCTAGAAACCAAGTCAAACAAACAAGGCAAACAAGACGGTCATTTTAGCAATACAAGTCTCAATTTGGCCTCTAAAAATCAATTAGACATGCTTGCAAATAACACATAATTATATGAGGTTGGCGCGAGGAGTGGGGCTAGGGATGAGACGGGTAAAAAAAATTGAAAATATTTTTTAGAAATAATTTTTTTTTTGGTGAGGGATGAGGGGGCTGATTTCGAGTAGTACATCTAATCCAAGAAGAAGATTTTCTGATGTCCTCATCCGGATGTAAGTATATGAATTGATACTGATTTATTCCTATTATTCATCTTTGATGTTTCTTCATATGAACTGGTTTCGTATTTCTTCATATGAACTTAGTTCATATTTTTCCGTATGAACTGATTTCGAGTATTCTAGTGGCAGTTTTCTTCATGTCGATATTGGGAATGGGAAGATTAAGTTTTTTCTTGAAGTCGCCTATCTACGTAATTAGAGTCGTAGTTGAAAGACTCAAGATGGAAATGGATAATTCAAAGATTGAAGTGGAGAATTTGAAGATTGAAATGAAGAACTTGAAGATTGTTGTGGAAAATTTGAAGATAAAAGTAGCTCATTTGTCTGAAAAAATTGCTACATTGCAGGCATCGAATTTGGTAGTGAAAAAAGTTACGACATTTGAAGACATTTTTTTGTAATTGTGACCGTAAACACTTTCCTAATAAGTTTTTTTGTCAATATATATGAAGTGTACATCGTGTTCTGTAAATATGTAAGGGAGGGATCATAAATGTTCAGGTTCTGTAAATGTGCAATTTTGTTCAGGTTCTGTAAATATATGAATGTGGATAATAAAGAAATTTGTTTGGCAAAAAGTTTAAGTTGTCCATGCTGGTTTGAGGAAGACAGGAACGAAAAAAGTTTAAGTTGTATTTCAATGGAGACTCATTGTGATGCAACAATTGCATTTTCCATATTTGCAGCTGAGACATTTGCAGCTACATGGACATTTGTAGCTGCATTTTCCATGATTTGGACTCAACTTTAGGCACTTATTATTGACTTCTGACCATATTTTTTTCGTTATTTGATCAAGGTCATGCTAGAATGCTTCTTTTGCTAGTCCGGTTATTTGTTTCATTAGTGATAATTGTAGAGTATGCTGCTCGATTTCTCCAAAAACATGTTACACTCGTATTGGACCCTAAAAAATTACACTCTTACTTTCAACTCTACTAAAGTCTCGAGTTCTCATGACAGAATGCACATTGTTATTAGAATTCAACTTTGCATTAGTTATGATAATGAAAATTTTGAGCAGGTTTATTGTTGTATGACAATAATGAAGGGACTAGTAGTCTTTGTTGCTATAGATGCACTGCATGTAATTTTGGTATGTGTGCAGTTTAAGTAGGAAGCAAAAGCATCTGTTATTTTAAGCAAATACATTTTCAAAATGGTGCCAAGTTTGCACATTACATTTTAGTGTGTATTACTTCAACTACTAAACATTACTTCATATTTTATCAATGTCCTTCCATTACAAGACCAAAATGAACGAACAAAAAGGTCCTTCCATTACAACACCAAAATGAAGAACAAAAATGGAACAAACACCACAAAAGACACTAACAACTGAATTCACTCAACTCTAACTGCTGATGCTGAAAGTAAACACTAACAATTGTTTCCGACAAATGACCTACTTTTATCTTCAAATTTTCCACAACTATGTTCAGATTCTCCATTTCAATCTTCAAATTCTCCACTTCAAACTTTGAATTATCCATTTTCATCTTGACATCTTTCAACGACAACTCTAAATTACGTAGGTAATCTACTTCAAGAAACACTTGCTCTTCCCATTCCCAATATCCACATGAAGAAATATGCCATAAAAGATACTCAAAATAAGTTCATACCAAAAAATACGAAATCAGTTTATACGAAGAAATACGAAATCAGTTCATATGAAGAAATACCAAATTAGATCAATAATAGGAATAAATCAGTATCACTTCATATACTTACATCGGGATGAGGACATCAAAAAAAATCTTCTTCCCAGATTAGTTGTAATACTCGAAATTAGAGTTTTGACCATAGAATCACAAGAACATTTTCTTTGAGATGAATAACTATTTTGTGACATTTTCTTTAAGAAAATCAGAGGTGAACAAAAGAGAGTGTAGGAAATATGGAAGGAGAATACTATCTTTGGAGAATGCTGAAGTTTTATATAGGTTACTTAAGGCCACTTGAGATGATTACAATCATCAACTACATCACTATTTATACTATTCAAAATAGAACACAAAAAGTTTTGCACAATTAAATAGATACATGTATCATAAATTACTAGATACATATATTACAAAATTCTAAAAGACTTGTTGAGAAACTAAGAGACATTATTGAAATACTATACATCAAGGTGTAAAGTAAATGCATTAATTACAACACTCCCCCTTAATGCATTTCCTTGAAAACTCAAATGCCTTCTCGATGATGGAAAACTTTTCACTTGGAAGTGTGTGGTGAAGATGTCAGCAAGTTGTTCTTCTGTCTGACAATAATTGCAATTGAATTTTGCTTTTCTCTTACATTTTTGAATATCTCCTTTATGATTGAGTTTGGTTTTGCAAATCCGCTTTAGACTTACAACTTCTCTTTCTTTGGGTATACTCACACACTCCCAGCATAATTTTCCTCAATCTTCCAATTTTTTTTCTGCCAAGGCTTTCTTCCAAACATCATATTTTATTGCCTCCTCATACTTTTCTTTCTTAACACCGACGAAGTTGCATTTTTGATAAATGTCACTCAACAATTTTATTCTTCTTAGAAGTGGTTCTTCATCGTCTGAATATGAGATTTGTCCTCCTTGAGGGACATTTTTTCTTCCTCATCCTCTTGTTTCCCTTATATAAGTCAAAGTAGTCCTAGATTACACATGGTATATATGTTTATAGAATGGATACACGATCTGCCCATATGTTGCCAATTTGCTTCAATAGTCTATTCCATCATATATGTCATCTTTTCACATGTTCATGTGTTCCCTTTATTGGTTATTACTCCCATTGTGTTAGACTATTATGTTGCTTCACAAAATGTCTACTTGATTTATTATAAATTTATATCTATGTACTTGCTAGGAATATGTATCCGTCCTTAAGTTGAATTTGTCCACATTCTTCCTTGGTTCCACATTCATGTATACCTTGTCTTTGATATTAGTTGGTGAGTATTTGGCTATCATATAGAGTTCAAATCTCTTGGCTGAAAGTTATATGTCTTCACTTCGTATGTGCTTCAATTTGAGATGTCAAAAATGCGTACTGACTCATTGAATAAGTATTATGTTGGTGTCAGATTTGCTTCCCATGTCATTTTCAATATCGTTACTCCAAAATTTCCTCTAAAGCATCAAGCTTATCATATCTCCTTCTCTAGAAATTACTCCCAAGGAAAGCCATGGAAGCTCCAAGAGTTCTGTTCCACAACTTCACCATTAAAATCTGAAGGAAACAAGTGTTTTTAAAGTACAAGATGGTAGAACATCTCCCATATTAAGAAATTTAAGTGAATAATCTGATTTAACATCAAGATAAGTTAGAAAGGACAACCTAAACCTTAAAGAGTCCAAGTCTTGGCAACTAAGGTTTCTGTCTAGCAAGAAAATAATCTGAAAGGAAGTTGGTTAACTCATTGTGATATCCATTGTTGTGCACCTGTACATCTTCAGTAGGAGTAATACGAGATGGATCACCTACGCATTTTCGTAGCATTGAGACATGAAAATACCAGATGAACTGATGAAAGCTCTTGTGGTAGCTCTAACTCAAAGGCTACTTGGACGAATTTTCGGATAATCTTATATGGCCCTATATAGAGTGGACTCAACTTTCTCTTTTTACCAAACCTCATTACCCCTTTCATCGGAGACGTCTTCAAGAACACCCAATCCCTTATAAAAAAATTCTAGTCCTCTCCTTCTAATATCTGCATATAATTGATGTCAACTTTGAGTTGTTTCTAGCCGCTGTTGTAAGCTACTGCAATTTTCTCTCTCTTGTGCTTGAGTTAATTAGGATACTTGGTATGTGTTAGTGAGTTTGAATTGTTACTTTTACATGGTGAGTATTAGGGAGGATGTTCTGGTGATTAGTGCATGTTGGGACAGCTATGGTGGGGAGTCCTCTTTAAATTAAGTTATGAGCTTGTTTGAGAACTTTAAAAGTAATGTTACTTGCACAAGTGCTGGTGATCAGAAACCATGATTCATATTGCCTCTATTACATTATTATGTTCAAAGATTGTTTTATGTATGTTATGATAAGGGATGTGAATGGGTGTGCGGGGAAGTTATGGAGATGTTAAAGGACTTAAATATTGCATGGAGTTTTGGGGAGGACCTGATGTGAAGGTTGTACAGTATATAGACGCGATTAAAGGGATGGGGAAGGAAAGAAAACACTCACTAGATAGATTGCATCCTTTCATACCTTACATACCTTACTATACAAACCTAGATCTTTGGCATGAATCCAAAACTTGCATTACAAAAAGTGAGCTTTCTAAGTGCCCTTGGTAGTGACTGATCCATAGGTTCAGTTCCTACTCCCTATAGCATTGAAGTGGGTACTCTAATATGAGTTTGTTACTAAATGTGTGTGTTTATTCTATCAAGTGTTAGCATGCAAGGTTTGAACTTGTTTCATTCTCAAAGTACCCCTAGCACGTATTTCCCTTATATAAGTCAAAATGATCCTAGATTACACATGGTACATATGTTTAATATGATGGATATATGGTCTGCCCATATCTTGCAAACTTGTTTCAATTGTTTATAAGTATGTCATCTTGTCACATGTTCATATTTTCCCTTTCTTTGTTATTACTCCCATTGTGTTAGACTATAATGTTACCTCACGGGATCACTACTTGCTCCATTGTACATTTATATGTATGTACTTGCTAGGAATATTTATCCGTCCTAAAGTTGTATTTGTCCATATTCTTCCTTGGTTCTACATTCATGAATACCTTGTCTTTAATATTAGTTGGTGAGTATTTGGCTATCATATAGAGTTCAAATCTCTTGGCTGAAAGTTATATGTCTTCACTTCATATGTACTTCCATTTGAGATTTCAAAACGTGTTGTATATGAAGCTTCTCATCAGTAATCTGCATAGTAGTTTACTTTCTCATCAAAGATTACTTGTAAAGCATGTGTTTATAAGGTACTTGTCCGCCTCACCTAGGGATTTGACACATCTAAAGATATAATAGAAGTATTATCTACCTTATTCTTAGTATGTATCTCAGAAAGGTTTAGCACCATGTATTTTTGCTTGAGAAGCTTCAAACCATGAAAATTCAAGTGACAAAATCTTTCGTGCCAAAGCCATAAAAAATCTACAACTTCCTTTTTGAATGTATTGTAAAGGAAATTTTCTTTTTATCATCTCTACTTCAATAATAACTTGATTTGACTCTATTTTATAATAAATCTTGCAATAGTTATCTCTAAACACAAGAAAATAACCATTTTCCATGAATTGACCAACTAAGCAAATTTTCTTTCAAGTCAGGAACATAAAGAACATCATGAATTTACTTACCGCTCCCTTTCGTGTTCATTGAAATGGTACCTTTACCTTTTTCATCAACTACGATTTCATTCATCATTCTCACTAGTAGTGATCCTATTATTAATTGAGAGGAAAACTTTTTCATATCCAGTCATGTGATTGCTACAACCACTATCGACATACCATTCATTGCTTTTTGCTGAAAGATCACATTGAGAAGCAAAAAAAACTGTCTTCCATTTCTTCATCCTATTCTTTACAAAAATTTGTTTACTCCTGTTACTTGTGTCGACAATCATTCTCAATATGGACAAAGTTTTTGCAAAAATTACACTGGGACTTGCCTTTGTACCAACATTTTTCTGCATTGTGATTAGTCCTTTTGCAAATTTTACAAAAAAAAGACTAGTACTTTTCTCACCTTTTTCGTCAATCTTCTTAGAAGAATCAACATGATCCTGCTTCTTTTTTGGATGTAATTCTTCTTTTGTTTATTTTTTGAGAAATTTTGAGGGCTTTTGCATCTTGACGATACTTAACCTCAAGATTTTTTATCTCTACTGCTGTAAGATCACCATCGTTGTTTGGCTCTTCAAAGCCATTTGCAACAACAGCCCACAAACCTTCAACTTTCAAATATGTTCTCTTTCTTATCATATAATATTCAAAATTAGTTCCACCAGAAAATGGAGTAAGAACAATTGAAGATTCAACACTTTCATTTGTTTTGGATGTCATAGGTTTTCTTCACTCAACCCCAGATTAAGAACGAAACCTGCTCTAGTACAAATTTGTAGAAAATATTGAAGAAGAATACTATCTTTAGAGAATGCTCAAGTTTTAATCACTTAAGATGATTACAATCATCAACTATATCACTGTTTATACTATTCAAAATAGAAAATAAAAAGTCTTGCACAATTAACTAGATACATGTGTCACAAATTACTAGAACATGTATTACAAAATTTTAAAAGACTTCTTGAGAAACTAAGAGACATTATTGAAATACTAATCATCAAGGTGTGAAGTTAATGTATTAATTCCAACAGTGAGATGCTGGAAGAACAGTGGGTAGAACGATAGAGAGATGTTGTAGAAAAATCAACCTAAAATCAAAAAATCTTACCTTACGTTGGCAAAAATATGATTTGTTGATCAAGATCACTGTAGATAATTGAAGGAGAAGTTAATGGGTAAATTTGGGAGAAAATGTGAATTGGTAATACAGTTAATTGGGTTAGTTGGTGGTTATCCTAGAGGGGTCGGGTTATTGGGTTAAAACCAGGGAATAAGATTTTTTTTTAAAAAAATTGGGTAATTGGTTAAATTTGGGTTAATTTTGGGGATTCCGTCTAATATATGGTAATTTGGTGAAATTAGTAATGGGAGGGGTAAATTTAACTTCATTTTAACAGCTAGGGTAAAGTCAAATCATAAACCAAAGTCGAGGGGCATCTTTTACCCTTTTTCCACAAAATATGATGAATTTCACTGATATGAAAGTTAATTCACTGTAAAATTTTTTCTTCACCGTATAAATAGCTAATAAACATTGAAAATGGATAAAGTAATTAACAATTATTTTTTTGTTTTTAACTATAAATTTGAAGTCTTTCCACATAAATAAATAGAGACTCGAAATACTTATTGAACATCAAACGAAAATGAAAATAAAGTATATGACGCCAGAAGAAAATAGTTATGTATGGTGTGACGTAAAGGGAGCTGCAAATAGGGGTTTGTCGATATGAACCATTTTTGTTATGTTTCATGATTTTGAGTATTTTCTGGCCTCTCTCTATGCTTGCGTTTGTTGTAAAACTGTAATTATGATTTTTGGCTTTTTGTTTTTTCATTTTCTTTTTGATTTTTTTCTCTTAGTACCATATTTTACTTCTTTTTTGAAAAATATTCCAGATACGTAAGTGAGATATGTATTTGAGAGGGCATATGACATTGGTTATATAGGAGAGAGATGTACCGAGAGGTGAGGAATGTATTAAAAAGAGATAGGTTTCAGATACACAAGGAATGAATGTATCCGAGAGAGGATTTTTTATTATTATTTTTAAATGGTAGGGAATCTTAGAGATTATGATAAAAATAAGATGTGCATTTGGGTAGTTTTTGCTATATACTATTAACCAAATATTTAGATATAATATTTATTATAAAATAAATATTTATTCAATTTCAATAGATTATATATTTATTTATGATGTCTGTTTATTATATAGTACTGATTTAGAGTTATTATTGTTACTATGCTATTTTTTCACATTGTTTCTATTATTTGTTTTAAATTACTTTAATTGAATTAAGTCTACTGAAAATAGTTTTTTTATTCTCAAATTAAAATAGAAATAAACTTTTCATACATATCTAATATCGTTTTTTCACACTCTATTTTTAATTTAATATATTATTATCGATTTTTTCATTGTATGTGAATTCTCTATTTTTGAAGAAAAAAATAGGTTCAAAAATATCTTTAATATATTCAAAAAGACTTTATTCTTAATGGTCATCCCTTTAACAAAGGATAAAATCAATCCAAACAAACTCCAATTGATTTAACTCAACTTCTTAATGATCATCCTTTAACCATATAACGGTTAGTCCTTAAAAATCCATCCCCACCAATTAATAAATTCAAACAAAATGAGACTTATTTTCATATGTACCAATAACTCTTCACCATCTATTAAACTAAAAATTGATAAATAAAGTTTCATAATATGTTTTAAGTACGGACATTTTTTACCATAAAAAAAATCAAGATCCAATATATAGAAAAAGAGCTATTTTAATCCATAACCGAAGCTAAAGACAACTATGGTCTAGCAGGTAAATAAAATAAATCTATGTCATTTTTAATACATTAGGGATCATATTTCAAATCAGTACAAGAGTATAATTTTTCTTAAGATTCACATGTAAATATAACTATGTGATCAAGTAATTGCAAAACAAAATAAAAAGATAATTAAGTTTTTGAAGCAGATGAATAATAGTCATTGAGCCAATTACAAGGAAAACAATAGGGTTATTGCACGACTCACACTCCAATGCCAATAATTCCTAAGGAATGCAAGCAGAAGAGATAAGTTGAACCAACACCTTTACAATTTTATAAACTTATTTATAGGGATGAAAATCTCTTGAAATCAATATATATAACTAAAAACAAATCTGTAAAGGGTGATACAATATGCGAAATGTATTAAGAAATTATGTGATGGCAAAATATAACCATATTTAATTACCTCATAAGACATGTTATTAACGTCGAACCTCATGCCTCTATTTATATTATGCAACTCCACCACAAATATATCAAGCATCATATAATCCTATTCAGTAGTACTATTATTATACATCCTACTAAACAACCCCTTAAGCAAATAACCAATCCATAAGCTATACTTACATGCTAATTGTAAAAAAGAACTACTATCATTAGGCATTTGCTTTTGTTCATGTGTGATACGCACCGATATTTGGACGAATTAAGTGTTGGGAAAGTAATTGAAACATCAATCTTAAACTTTGTAAATACTAACCAAATAAACAACTAATATATTAGTCTTCATAGAACCGCGCGATGAGCAAGTAAGAAAAAAGGGGAAACGAATAAGTATAAAGATTTGGCTAATAAAAGATTAGTTTCATAATGATATACTTCAATTATAGATCATGCGACTAAAAAGAGAATTTCTCTTTACATAACAAAATATAAATAACTTTCTTAGCTTACCCTCTTCAGAAAACCTAAGGAACGTGATAATTTTTTTTATCTCTTAGGGCTTGTTTGGAAGGGAGTAAGAATGAGTAATTTCAGTTTATTTCTTATTTCTATTATTTGGTAGGTAAGATTTTTTTTTATGTCAAGACTATTTATAAATTATAATTTAGAAAAATGCTATAGAATGAGGGTCGAGAATTAGGAGCAGCTCAAAAATTAATTATAAGCGCTTTAAAGTCGAATTTAATTTTATTATAATAGGCCTTCAATTATAGAAAAATCATAATTACAAATGTGATTCATGTTTTGCATCTCGTCATATTTGAATTTTAAGAAGTAGAAAAAAAGCACTCATGCGTTATAATTTTTTTAAAAATAAATAAGTTATTTTTTGTATTTATAAAAAGAGTTGGTGAGAGTTGGAAAATTAAAACTTTGGTTCTTGGAATTGATAAACATCCATCCATACCAAACACACCCTTAAAGCAAACACATAAACGAACATTTTGCTATTTAATTTATAAATATCATTGTAAGAAACTTTTCATAGTTTTCATGCATCCTATACGGAGACAGACGTTCATCATAAAATGCTAAATAAAATAAAATAGTTTTTAGGACACAACTGTTCATTCTTTAACGGATGAACTATGAAGTAAATAGATAATGCCTAAACAGCGATACACAAAAGAAATACAAAAGTAAATAAAATAGCCTTTACGGCCGCAGTCGTTTATTCTCAATTGGATGAACTATATGGCCTTCACGGAAACAACCGTCCATCCTCTAAAACCGCATGAACTTTAGTTTGAAACTAAACTTTTTATTTGGGGGTTGTCAAGGACATTATCTCAATTACAGCTTGCTTAAACCTTTTTTCCACTGTAAAGACATTCGATAATTGAGATATGCCACTTCCACCTTTAGCCTGAGTATACATTGATCAAACATGTTTTTAGAACTAAGCAGTAATAATATACTTACTAAATATATATGTATACATGTTATCCATATGGTCTTGTAAAAGTAGAAAAACTGTATATTTATTTTAAACACTTGACTCAGGTAAGTTAATCTAAATAATTTCTAAACATAATTTATGACTAAACTATAAGTAGTAGCAAATAGTGAATTTCAACCTCAGGGTGAGACTAGGTGGGAGGAGGCATTTCTAAAAAAAGGATAGACATATATTCTTTTATTTTACTTCCATTTCATGTGAAGATATATGTTTAATTAGACGCAAACTTATAAAAGAATAAACAACTATATATTTCTCGAACACCCTATTTAAAAGAATTTACTAACACTTGTAATTCTTCAAGTTCTTGATCAATCAAACAAAGAAACGTAAAATAAATCGAAGAGTGTGCTAACTAAAAACCCTAGTTCACAGTGTTCAAATGACCTATATATAATTTTGAAAAAAAAAGAAAGGACTTCTATGAACTTTGATCATGAACATGCTTCTCAAATGATCATATGAAATTTGAGCAGACACAATGTCCATCTTATGTTTGTCCGAAACATAACAAATGATGGTAAATAGCCCTAGCTTCTTAGGACAACAAATAAATACTAATATGTGCATCTCCACTACATACATTTAGTATCTCATTTGGTGAACTCCATATAAAAGAAGCTGTTGGAATAAGGGGACTAGCACCAGGATTAGTTGGTGTAATAGCTGTTGAATTACATATTGATCCTTGATCACTCACATCCTTCTCCCAACTATTACCAACTTGTTGTGAATCCATCAACCTTATGATATATTCTTCTAGCCTTTCTTGCTTTTGACTTTCAAGTTTTTTGAAAGTATTCTGCAGCTTTAGGATGTGGTTCACTGCTTCATAAACTATTGTAGACTTATCAGTCTGCATATACAAAAACAAATATGAAATTAATTTATTTCTACTTCATATCGCGAAGTCGAGATTTTCACTAACTAAGGGAAAAGTAAACACACATGAAGAAATCAAGAACATATCATATACGAATTAATTAGTTTCAAGTCATTTATAAGTGTCTAAAAAGATTCATTTAATAAGTACAAATTACAAAATAAGGCCATAATTATAAATTTATAATCTTTAAATCCTGTCTATCACGCAGCAGACAATAAAATTAATTGTAATAACTGATTTATACATTAAAAAATGTTATTGGTTGCAATTAATATGAAAAAAGCAAGTTTGTCGGTAATAACAACTGAAAATACATTACTACGAGTATAATGGTTCTATATGGTTAATGATATACTTTTTAAGTACTTTATACATATTAAGAAAATGTTCTTTTTGGAAAATTTAGAATAATGTTGAGAACTTGATATTCTTATGCTAGAACAGAAAATATAAATAAATTTGTGGATCTTTTTAACTATCTGCGAAAAATCAGAAGATCTATATTGTTTTATTCTTCACTTTTTTGATAAACAAAACACATCTTATTATTCTATTTTAAAACTAACATGTAGATATGTACAAATTAGTAATAAGAGGAATGTGTATATTACCAAATAAATTTATTCCCATTTGATTGAGGTTCTACAAGAAATTGTCTCTCTATTTTTTTGTTACTAAACATATTATATATATATATATATATATATATATATATATATATATATATATATATATAATAATATCATA